CAGGAAGAGTGAGAGAGATCAGTGAGTGTGCAGGAGGTGTGTGGGAGGCTTTCTCCATGTCACTCACTCTTGCTCAGGCTGGGTCTCCCCTCTCACTTCTCTGACCTGCATGCCAGTCACCTCTGGAAACACCCATGCGGACACACTCTCAAAGACCCTGAGGTGTGCTCTTCTAATTTCCTAGAGGTTCTTCAATCCAGTCAAATTGACAATCAAAATTAACCTGCACAAATGGCAAGGGGCAAATCAGACCACTCTAAGACCAGTAAATCCTAACCTTGGTGTGGCTTCATCTGTGCAATGTGGTCTCATGTTTAGCTTTTACTTCATGTTAGGTCAGTTAGCTTTTAAGTAAACAAAATCCTTTTTCAAGGGAAGCAAGAGATCTGGCTTTGCATTTCAGCTATACTCACAAAAGTTGTGTGAAGCGTGAGGTCTTTTGCCCCTTCAGTGGAAACATGGATTTCAAAGTCTCCTTTATACTAGGAAAGTGTATCTTTATTAGCATTGTATTGATGTAATATTTTTCCAAATGATCTAAGAAATGATTGACCTGCTGTGAAAATGTAGATAGAAGTGCAATTAACTCCCTGGGCTGGCTTCAGCAATAACCTCTGTTCAGTAATACAGAGGTAAACAATTCCTCTGCATCACCCTCACTCCCACATGCTTCCTTTTGGTAAAGAATAATTCATCTTCTTGGTCTTTTCAAGCAAACAGATTCATGAGTTCCTTGTTTCTTCTTACTTGTCAAGATTTCAGAAATGCCAAAGATGTGACAGTAAATGGAGTCTGTGTCTTCCTCATGTGCTAAAGGATGACTGTCTCTCTTCATGAGACTGTTCTGAAGTGTGTTCTTGCCTGTGCTGTGGCAGTCCACCATCTATCGCCACCTCGGCCTCTTCTATATTCACTGAGGTCCATGCTGCAGCCATACCTGGTGTCCATCACTTTTCTTTCTTCCTTCTGAGCCTCTGAGCCACTCTTCTTTCTGTTGGGAATGCCACTTCCTACCCAAGTGCATTAACTGTGACTGTTCCGATCTTATATTAGATGTCATCTCCTCTAGGGAGTTCTCCCTGGCCTTTCTCCTTTAGATGCTCCTCTAAGCTGTCATTCATCCTGCTTTCTCCTCCCAAGACTTGGCAGAATGGGCCTTCAAAAATGCCTGTTTTTTAGGTAGCATCCCCTCCTAGAACTTAAATGAGTAGACATTCTTATGTTTCTTACCACTAAGTTCCCATAATTGAGTTTCTGGTACCCAAGAAGTTTCTGACACATATTTGTGAAATGGTGTGTAACTTTACATGAGTTTGTCTGCTCCTCTCCACAGAATAAGTGGACTCTTATGCCAATAGCAGTAGCTAGAGGACTGGGCAGGAGCTTGATACAAACATCAAGGGCAGGCAACATGTATAAAGATGTAAGAATGCACTTGTCATTGATCCAAGAACTTTTTTATGTTACATCGTCTACATCTTTCCTAAGCATCCTTTATATGCCCTGTATTTTTGTAGGCAGGATGATATATATCTGTAGATATCTATCTATCTATCTATCTATCTATCTATCTATCTATCTATCTATCTATGGCTATATCTCTATCTATCTGTCTACAAATAGACAGTGTGTAATTTTTCCAAGGAACAATTTGTCTGCTGTGAATATATGTATGTGTGTGTGTATATATATATATATATATTTTTTTTTTTTTCCCCTGAATCTTGGTGACAGGGATAGACTCATTGGCAGACTGTTTGCCTAGAAGCCACAAGGCCCTACTTTTAATCCCCAGCATGCTAATATGCACTCACACATGCATGCACGCATGCACGCACACACACACACATACACACACACATACACACACACATACACACACACATACACACACACACACACAGAAGAGGGAAGAATTATATATTTTGTCTTCACATTTCTATGTGACCCGATATTTATCTTGATTATGAAGGATATAAAGTTTTAATATGTTTGATAATAGCTATTAGCTATTCTGGTTAAAGAGAGATGAAGTTGCAAAGTATTTTTAATTGTAATTCTCTACTGGCTAAAGTCATTGAACAAGCTTCTATATACTTCTTCATTGGTACTTTTTTTTTAAAGAAATGTCTAACAGTTTACTGACCCAGTTCATTAGGTTATTTGTTTTGGAGCATTATTTCTTTTTTAATTATTTATATATTCTAGATGTTAATCAATGATGAAAAAAAAAAAGTAGACAGTCCTTTATTGGGCCAGCCAGATAGCTCAGCAGACTAAAGTGCCTACTTAAGCAGGCACAGTGGCCACAGTTCGATCATATAATCTGCAAATGGAGATAATTTGACTTTTTTCTTTCCCACTTGATCTCTTTATTTATCTCTTTTTCCAGGTTGCTGTGGCTAATGTTTTAGGTACTACATTGAAGAGCAAGGGTGAAAGTAGATTTTGTACAACAAGCGCTTTTTTCTCTTTGTCAGCAATCAAATACCTGTAGGCACATTAATTTGTATTTTGCATCTTCTATTTTCTATTTCTGTACTTATTTATTTTGTACCAGAAGCATGTTGTTTTTGGTAGTATAGCTTTGCAGTATAACCTAAAATCTGGTATTGTGGTTCCGTCAGCATCATTCATTTTTCTCAGGAATGATTTGTATTTTCTGGGTCTCTTCTGAGTCCACACAAATTTTAGGATTTTTTCCTAGATATGTAAAGAATGTTGTTGGTATTTTAATAATGATTGCACTAGATCTGTAAATTGCTTTAAGTAATGTGGCCATTTTTGTAATATTACTTCTGCCAATCCAAGAACAAGGGAATGTTTTTCATTTTCTAAAGTGTCTTCAAATTCTTTCCTAGTGTTCTGTACTTTTTATTGTAGAGATATTTCACTCCTTTGGATAGGTTGATTCCTAGATATTTATTTTTTTTTTGAAGCAATCATGAATGGAACTGAGTCCCTTGTTTATTTTTCAGTGGGTTTACTATTGGCGTACCTGATTGCTATAATTTTTGTGTGTCAATTTTGCCATTTGGCTCTATTTATTTATTATATCTGAAAGACTTATACTAGAGGTTTTTGTGTCTTATTTGTAAAAAATCGTATAATCTGCAAATGGAGATAATTTCACTTTTTTCTTTCCCACTTGATCTCTTTATTTATCTCTCTTTCCAGGTTGCTGTGGCTAATGTTTTAGGTACTACATTGAAGAGCAAGGGTGAAAGTAGATACTTTTGTGTCATTTTTAATTTTTGAAAATGTTCTTTCATTTTTTCCTGTACTTAGAATGATATTGGTTACAGACTTGTCATATATGTCTTTTATCAGTTTTACAGTAAGATACATCAATAGTTATTTTCAGTAGGGTTTTATCATTAGAGGATATTGGATTGTCTTGAAGGTATTTTCTGCATTTATTGAGATGATTAAGTGGTTTCTTACTCTTGACTTCATTTATATGACAGAATATGTTTATTGATGTACATATGTTGAATTTGCATCCCTGACATGCAATTACCTTGGTCTAGATGAATAGTTTAATGTGTATTAAATTCTGTTTGAAAGTGTCTTATTGAGAATTTTTAAAATCTATGTCCACCAAGGTTGATGATCTATAATTTTGTTTTGAAGTCCATATATAGTTTTGGTATCAGGGCACTTCTAGATTCATGGAATCAATTTAGACACAATCCTTGTCTTTCTATTACATAAAAAAAAATTGAGGATCATTGATGTTAGATCTAGTGAAATTCAGCAGTAGACTCTGAAGCTTCCTACACTTCCCTACTTTGTTCTTCAACACACTGATCATTCCTGAGTATACTATTCAATCTTCATGTGTTTTCAGTTCCATCGATTCCTAAGCTTTTCTTCATTGATAGAATTTTCATTATGTATCAATATTATTATTTGTTGTTGGTCTATTTAGGTTTTTTATATCTTCTAGATTCAGTTTTGGAAGGTCATGTATGTTTCAGAATTGATCCATTTCTCCTAGATTTAGCAAGTTATTATAATCTATATCTTTAAAATAAATTCTATTCACCTCATGGATTTTAGTTGTATTTCTGATAATTTTGCTTTTTCATTTCTTTTACCAATGTGATCCTTATCTCTTTTTAGTTATGTTTGACTGATTATAATTTTTTAATCTTTTCAAAGAAACAAACATTTGATGTATAGAGCCTCTGTATTTGATTTGGTCCTAGTTTCATTAATTTCTGCTCTAGTTTTTATTATTTCTTTCCTTCTACTAGTTTTGGGTTTGGCTTCTTCTTGTATTTCAAGGCTTTTAAATGTACTTTAGTTTTTTTTAGAATCTGCACTTCTCTGTATTTCTAATGCATGTACTTATAGCTATAAATGCACTTCTTAGAAGTGTTTTCATTCTGTACAATAGATTCTGAGCTCTTGTATTTCCATTATTGCTTGATTCTAGGAATTTTAAAAATTTATTTGTTACCTTTTTCTGTAACACACTGGTCATTCAAGTATATACTATTCAGTCTTCATGTGTTTGTGTAATTTTTGTGGTTTTCTTTGCCATGGAATTCTAGTCTCATTCTATTGTAATCTGACAGAATGCATGAAGTTATTTTAATTCTTTGTATTTGTTAAGACTTGCATTATCACCTAAT